AACGCGTCAGACATTTACAAGAAATTAAAGCAAACGAAAAACAATAAATAAGACTGATATTCGGTTAATTGTTTTTCGTTTGTTATAATTTCTTGTCAAAGTATGACGCGTTCGCGAGTGCAAATATAACACTTGACCTGAAAATGGACACAAGTAGTCCGAAATGATAATCGTTACTTAATTCATCAAATTTCAGCATTATTGGGACCAGGAGAAATTAGGTGAGTAACCTGCCACCATGCAACCCGATAAAGTGTCCAAACATTTCAAATTATACGAGAATCGTTTTCCAGAAAGCTGTAGAGCCACCTCAACAAGGTGCGCTGAGTAGAAAAATTGGGATAATATATTAGCTATGTAACTTACAAAAAGGTCGTTAATACTAATTCTAAGGCGAAATTACCCAGACTCCCTTTTAGTTCCTCCGCTGACACCAACACAACACCAAAAAGCGGGAATTCTTATCCAACACCCTCCGAGGCTCTTGACACGGCTCCGGCGGCGGGAAATTATCACCATGGCTTTTTGAACGTTAAGTGAATTCCAAACTCCAAATTACAAAAGCCGGGAGGTGTTAAAGTAAACGTGGCTTCGGCATGGGTTATCGCTCTGAGGCAATTCCTGGGGAGGGCGCTCCACGAGGTTGGGGGAGGAAGATCCTAACCGTCCGCGGTGCCACCCCTCCTGTCGCCTTACCCCTAAAAATGTCGATCTTATCTGCCTTTTCTTGCGAGGTTGCCGTCCACCCGTGGGTGGAGCAAGAAAATATGGGTCATTCCCATTCTCGAGGAAAAAATGCAAAGGAATTGGGGTCCGTATAAAGATACGTAACCCTCGGGGATGTCTAGCGTCGCGTTACGTAACACTTGGCACTGTATATTTTTACGTTTTTATTGAATAACTGGACTAAACTTTGCAATTAGAAACTACAATCTCTGCCTATTTTAGAAACAGCGTATGTACTACTAGTTTCCCTGTGCAGTTACGTGTTTTTACCTATGAGCCATAAATTGTAGCTCCTAATTGCAAAATGAAGTCCAATTCATTGTCGTTTTTTTCTACAAATGTTTTAGTATTGAATCTCACTTAAACAAAAGTTCAGACGACTTATTTTGCCTTTGTATTCTTGCTTTATTATTGCCTATATTCAATTTTTCCACGAGAAAAAAGAAATAGGGGAAGAGAATGAAATTTACCTGTGAATTGTTCTCCTTAGGGCAAGGATTACGGAGAGTGTTACGTATTTTTATGGGGGAACCGACCTGCGTTGCGGGAGAGGTAGGAAAAGTAAAAAATATTATTTTAATTTTTACCAATTTTGTAAAAGATCCCTCCCTTTCCAATCACAATAAATTTGTCGATAACTTTTAATACATTTGGATTGAATCTAAATTGAGAAAACCCTTTTCTTTCATCCCTTCTTCGAATTTACTTAGAAGGTTATTTTTAAACTTTTCAATCATAAAAACAAGCCCGCTTTGAACATGCATATTTGATGCCGATAAGATTAAGAGGATTTACCCTCACTGACCTTCGCTTTAACCCTGCAAATTCAGACACTTGTTTCCACCGACGGCATCTGAGCAACTCTTGAAAAAATTAACAACTAATTATAACCCCTTGCCGCGGAGATTTCGCTCATTAATGCAGTAATTATTAAAAGGAAAATGTTAGCTTTTCTGTGAGAACTGGCGACGTCGCCTTTACTTGAAAAGGACGAAACAGACAGGCTAAAGATAATTAAAACAGGGATGACTTATTTGTAAAGACGTTGAGAGAAAATTAGATTTTTATCTTGTAGCTCGGATATTTGAGCTTTAGGTCTAGTTGAGCTGCAAAGACGAACTTTCAAAGTGAGTGCGCCCTTGAAAGTTCACTCACTCCACTGCTGTTCACGAGGAAAAAATTCAGCGAGACCTGGAGATGAGACCAAATTGTAGCTAAAAAGGAGAGGATAAAAGGGAGCGAAAGGAGATATAACTTTAAGTATATTGATTTTCTCGAGTTTTATTCCTCTAGTGTTAGAGCCTGTTTAAAAACTTGAAGATATCATCAAAAAGTAGTTAGGGGAAACAGTTGTTCATTAAGAACTAACCCCTAACCGTTGTGGCTCTATTACTATCAGCATTTGCGAGATTGATTGTTTGTTTATGTTAGGTATTCTCTGTGCCCGTTTATGGGGAGTTTAAGAAATCTCGGGTTCTTGAAATCACACACGCGCAGAAAAGTTTAAGTACAATTAGCAACAGTCAACGTAAATTTTGATCACTTCATTACCGCATTCCTTACTTCCATTCCCTCTCTCTCATTGCGTTTGCTCCATATCCTGCCTTTCGTCCCCTGGTCCATTCCAGGTTATAATCTTTGCGACCATTAAAGGGGGAATCTCCGTACCCGTTTGTGACATCATAGGAGCCTTAAATACAGGAACCAATCAGAAACGGATTTCACAAGTAGGAAAATAAACAAGTTATAACGGGGTCGTTTAAAACGTCTTTCTCGGCGACGAGGCGTGGATTATCAAAAATTGATATTTCCCCCTTGAGACTATGGTAAAGAATCGATTATTGAGGTGAACCCTAATAATCGATCTTTTTCCGTAGTTTTAATTGGCAGATCAATCGCTTTATCACAAAGAGCAAATCCTGATTGCCAGGAACTAAGAAAACAGTCCCTGCAGACGCGTTAAATTTTAAAAAGCTCGTAAAGGCAGCATAAACGTGCGCAAAGCAGTGAATTTTAGTCATTTTTGATTAAAGCAACATGCTTTTTGTATGTTTTGATATGCGATGGAGTTTCCTCATTCATCTGCGCCTCTGATGTGCAACAAACCCAACAATCCCAACAGGCAAAACACCGCAAATTAGGAGCTTTATCAAATAAGCACCAAACAGAGGACTTTGAATGAGGACTGGGGCTTTGGGACAAGAGTTAAAGTTCGGATTGAATACCTGAGTAAAAAAAAAACCCACCTAACCAAACAGGGAGAAGATCATAATGAGCCACGGAAAACATAGTCGGAGTCGAGGAGTCTTTCACGTGAAAGAGAACAACTTAGGGCACATCGCTCCGGCTCCGCGGAGAAAAGGACAATTTGGATTTAAAGCGGGGCGAAAAAAGCCGGTGAAAGGCACTTGAGCGATGAAGAACCGGTGATTTCAAGTTCACTTAATTAGAACTGACGATTACGGGGCGGAGAGTGTCTTATTGAGGGAAACTCGGGAAACCACCCTCCGCCGCCGCCGCGGTGGAACGCGCCGCGCAGCTCGAAAAGGTCAATGGAAGGGTTCGCGAGGAAGGAGACAAAAGATGGCGAAGATATTAATATCGGCGCACGTGTGCGGTGAACAGCCATACGTCCGCTCCTTCAGGGATTCCTCGATGAATGGTGGATATCGCACGCGGCACCGCTGCGCTTCCAATTTGAAGCTACGCACTCGTCGGTGTAAAATTTCGTCGTCGAGAGCCATCCTCTACGTCAGTGGCGTAGCGTGCTTTGCGATATATCGATTGTTATGCCATTTAAACCTACGGAAAAGGATCGATAAACAGGGTGTTCGCAGCGAACACCTTAATAATCGATTCTTTATCATAGGTTTAAATGCCGTAACAATCGATACATCGCAATTCACGCCACGCCACTGCTGTACGTGTAGGGGACGGGACGACTTCTGCCGTGCTAGGGAAGAACGCCGTATGAGCCTTCGGACGTTGTCAAGTTTCTTTCGATAAAAATTGAATTTACTGGAAAAATTGTAAATATTTTTTCCCACCATTTTCAGACAATTTTGTACGCAATTTAATCTAAAATATCTGAAACTCTCAGGGAAAAATATGCATAAATCTTGTCAAAAACACGTGTTTTATCCAGGGAAATTTGGCAACTCTCGAATGCTCATACGGTGTTCTTCCTTAGCACGGCAGACCTAACGCGATGGGCTGATCATTGAAATTGAGAGACAAACCGATGAACGAAGAAAGTTCCAAAGAATACTCGTGTCAAATCTAGTAATAAAATGACCTTTAAGGGTACGTCCTACGACAAGATTTATATGTTTCTTCATGCTGTATGTCTCTTGAGAGTATCATGAGTTTCCCAAGTTAGAAGAGGACACTTTACGAAACGAAATCCTAATTATTTAGCTGGTGGACGTGATCGTATTCAACGGCCGACTTGACTCGTGTAAATTTTGGTTTTGCGAACGGGAAGTAAGATTTTGCTGATTCTAATACCAAAAAGAAACATTCTTTTTTTCCACTTAGGAGAGAATTTTGGAAATTTTTAATGTTTTCAACTTTTTTGCGTGGAATTTTTATGAGGGAACATGTTTCGAGGACATTTAATTCTTGCCCGGTCTGCCGGCCCATTGCACATGCAAAACAGAAAAAATGTTGAAAATGTCTAATGTTCGCTCATACGAGTGCGAAATCAATGTTCTTCATTCGGTCTCTTTCAATTTCTCAAAATTACATGACAAAACCATTTTTTAACATCACAAAAGTGAATGAAGAAAATTTTGAATGATTTAAAAGAAATCAGGAGAATTCTACTGCAGTCCATTTTGATGTAGTAAAATAAAGAGAATTACTTTCCGAACAAACCTAACACATTGAAATGAGTTATTCTGTAAACAGATTGAACACATTCGTTTTTCAGCGTCCCGGTAAAAATCGGGGTCGCCTTTTATCCATGTACATGGGGCTGTAAAAATGGCAACGTTTTAGACGGGTACTTTTGGCAGACGGCTCGTTAAAATGAAACAACATACGATGTTTTTGACTGTGCAGCTTGAAAAAATCATAAGACGGGAACACTTTTAATTGGTAACAGTACACCTACCTACAATGCCGGACAACAAAGAGAACAGTGGAGGGGAGAGAGAAAGAGAGGGAGAGTGGGAGGGAAAGAGAGGAGAGGATGGAGGAAAAACATCTGATTTCAATTGAGGAGTTTTTAATATGATACATTCATAAAAGAAGGATAGAGAAGGTTGACTTACATAAATAACCCAGTCTTTTGGGCCATGAGCATTGGTGCCGCAAATGTAAACCCTGGAGCCATCGCCGATCGGCTGAATCACCCGGATGTGATTTCGACAGTCAAAATGCTGAAACAAACAAAATAAAACGTTAGTGGAGGCTTTTCAACTACGAATGATCTATTTGAGGAATACGAGCTTAAATTAGAAGTCCGTAAAAGAAGGATGCATTCGACCAATAATAACTTTGAATGCATCAACCTCTACCTCTTCACTAAAAAAAACACCACACGCGGAAAAAAATAGGGTAGTCAACACAACCAGCGGCTGGTTAAAGATGCGTTAGCTACCGTGCGGTAGTTACGATAACTAACGCGGTGGAGGTCACAACTAACCCGGTAGTTACATCAACATCCATGGTAATCCATGGCCGCTGGTTGTGTCGACTACCCTATTTTTTTCCGAGCAGGGTTGTTTGATGATACAGACATTTCCAATTACAATTACATTAACAATAAGAACACACCACTCTTGTAAAGCTTCTCTAGTGCGCTATGTCACCTGACGCATTCCAAATTCAGAGTCACTCAAAAGACTTCTTCAAAACAAAACTTAAGGATATTCAAGGACTTGTTGACGCGTAGTGAACTCAGGGATAAATTTTTCAGATATTCAAGTCCGGCGAGCAACAAAGTTTTTCCAATTCGTGATGTTTCGTTGAATAAACGTCCGATACCTTGATTTCGATGGGGAAAGTTTAAAAAGTCAATCACGACCGGACAAACAATCATTTAACGTCCCGGCGAGCTGTTCCTTCTGAAATTACGGAGGAAAATCAAAATCCGAATCAAAGTTTGCGATTCGATCGACAACGAAGCTTATAATGAAAGACGGAAGACGGATAATGACTATTGTTTTAAACGGAGGTCGAAGCGAGACGTTTCTCACAAGGTAAATACTAATTCTGAGACACAGAGCGCGCTCGGCTTTTATACTAATGGACTCGGAACCAATATTTGTTTTATTGAGAACTTATTCTCAGCCCCCGTTTAGTTCCCAAGGAACGCCTCGACCAGAGATGCCTATCCTCAGACTTGATAGTGTCTCGGATTTTCGAGTTCATTCCGGCTAATTGCTGGTTGGTTTGCCAGGTTTGGCAACTGTTGGAAAGCACTCCTATGTCCCTTCCGCTTGAATCTCTCTTAAACAGTGATAAGGAAGGCTTTTGCACTAAGCTTCATTTGCTTCAGAAAGTCACCTGTCATCTCCCAGGACAAAAATATCCCTTGTTTTTGGGACTCGCTCAAATGAGACTACCACAACAGAGGTTGACAGAGGAAAAGGGACAGGATAAGAAACGACTGAAATGGTAGATTAAAGCAAGCTACAATGATACGAAAGGGACAATATTTGTATTTGGCTGGATTGGCTATTGTAGGACCAAAACTCTGCAGGGGCCTGAGATAAGCATAGTGCAAAAATTTCACCTCAAGAACAAACGAAAGCCGAGCGAGCTGTATAGTCACAAATGCATTTGGGTTGATTTCACGATCAAAAAAAGGATTTTCATTGATCAGAATTGACTTTAACTCGCTGCATACCCGTGTAAGAGATACTTTAAAGCGCAACAAATAATTGAGCCTGGGTGACCACGAGATTTTTCTTCTTCTTATCTTTCACACATTTCAGATATGTCATTGGAAACAAGAAAAATACATGTTTTATAAAGAGGTTCTACTTTTAATTGAGCCTTCTTGTCTTTGATTTTAGGGGAACGGTGTGGTGGGATTATTGGCATTAACCTACCATCCTGTCCAATAGCATTTGAGCCTTAATTGTTGTGCTTCTTTTCCTCCTCTCTTAAAATCAACTCTAAGAAAAAAAGAATATCAATGACTTTACTTCCACGGTTTTTATAAAGTTGCAGTTGCATTTTCAACAAGCATTGCATAAAATGAAAAAACTACAAAAAAGTATTGAATTCATTGATAGGCTTTCGTAGGTAGTAAGATTCAGAAATTACACTACCCAAGTTATCACGCGTCTGTGGAGAGCCTAGGGCAGAGAAAAAGTATTCACTTACGACCACAAAAAATTCCATTCTTTAGAGTTAGTGGCATTCACACTCGTAGAGTAAGGTTACGGCACATTACATCAGGGAGCCGAATGAGGGTAATAGAGAGGGAGAAATATGTCTCACTAAACTTTAGCACCCCGAAAATGGTCATAAGATAAAGCCCCGTCTAGTCGGAGCCGCAAAGGCATTAGAAACCAATTTCCTCGAGAATTTACAACTTCCATCGATAAGCTACCAAAAAACGCTGTGCGAAGGCTCGGCCGTTGCAAAATTTCTTCTGACAGAATATGAATTTTTTGGAGCACCCAAAACAAGTTCCCTTTGAATTTCTCAGATGATCACAGTGTAGAATCAAACATCGCGATGTATGCCAGTTTCCTCGTCAAAATTACAGCTAAGGAAAGGTTAGACAAAGGTTATACGGACAAGACAGCAGGCATAGAAATTTTTCAATTTTAAGTTAGAATGAACAATAAACATAGAATGAACAATAACATAGAATGAGTATAGTAACCTACGGGTGTGAAGTATGGCCGATGAAACAGCGGACCCGGGAGGTTTTAGAGGCAACAGAGATGGACTTCTGGCGTAGATCCGCTGGTATTTCCAGAAAGGATCGCGTCAGGAATGAGACGATACGGGATATCATGGATGCCAAGCAGACCATCGTGCATGACATTATGACAAAACAACTCATTTGGTATGGTCATGCCCAGAGAATGGCAGGAGACAGGTTGCCGAAGAAGGTCCTTGACTGGGTTCCTCCTGGGAGAAGACGCAGAGGGCGCCCAATGAAAGGTTGGAGGGAAGGGATTGAAGCGGAAATGTTACGGTGCTCAATCTCCCAAGATTTGTGGTTTGAAAGAGAGCAGTGGAGGTTAGCAGTCGTAGAGCGCGAGGGAGTGCTGTAAAGCGACTTATATGTATGTATGTATGTATGTATGTATGTATGTATGTATGAACAATAAACTCTTGTCTCTCTTATCCTTGTTGATTTCAGGCAACCGGGGTAGGTATTTGGCCATGTTCTACATGGCATCTTGATGAAAAAATATCTTATTACTTGCTTAAATTTATAGCACTATAGGTTCATCCAGCATAACTGAGAATTTCGGGCGAAAAATTCATATTTTTTCTAAAGAATGAATACTTAATTGGGAGAAATTTGGCATCGTCCTGGTATTTGTACGTCGTTTTTTCTCAGCGCGACCGCGTGGCTTTCTCTTATATTGAAGCATGAAGCACCGCATTCGGGCAGATCACGAGAGGGCGTTGAACGTTCTGTGCGGAACAAAGATGTCTCCGAAGATGAGTCGAAATCAATTACGCAAAAGCCCAAGGCTTGTCCAAATGTCGACGGCAAATAACGGGATGATTCACAATTAATCCCTCTACTTACACTTCTTTCACTCGCTTCACAAGCTGGGGCGCGCCGCGTTTGCGGTGACGGAAATTAATTTTCGTAAAAGTGGATGGACTTCAAACATCATTAGCGGCACCACTACCCTCCGATCGTTGTTAGCCAAGAATTTCATAACTGAGCTTTTCTCCCTCTTATTTTTGTTCGACACGAGAACATGCCTACTCTGAGGAACGCTGTGTGAGCATTAGGAAATTGCCAAATTAGCCTGGATAAAATGGTAATTTTTCCAAAAAAGTGTGAATTTCTCCTCCTAACATTTTATGGTACATTGGATTAAATCGCGAATAAAATTCTTTGAAAATCTGAAAAAGAGGATTTTTAAGCTGTTCGGAAAATTCATAGTTCAGCGGTGGAAATTCGGCGACGTATGGACAAACAAAATTTCACCTAAGCCCAACAGTACTGCTCCGAAATGGCATAAAGTGTAAGGGGCTATTGGCCGCCGGGTTATTAATTTTGAAATTCACTTCGTCGCATTGTATGTTTTTAGGGAAGATTTAAGAAAGTTAATCAGAAAACTGACTGAACCTCCTCTCAATCCCTACGCTCTTATATTAACAAAGATATAAGTTTTTTTAAGTTTCCATAAGATGAATGACTTTCCGTTCTGTGGTGTTTTCCTGTTCACGGGTGAGATAAGATCTTGAAATCGTGTTTCAGTTGTGTTTGTTGAATCGATTAGTTGAGCGAAAAAAATAAGATCTGCCCAGTCACCAAGTCAACGAGAAGGAAGATCTATCCTTTCGAGAAACATTACACATACCATTCTTCCCGGTTGTGATGCACACAAGGTTTATTGTTTTCTGCCTGCACGTTTTAATCAGTGTCGCGATTTAACCACCCATTGCAAGTGTGTGCCTCACTATTAGTTGGAATCAACGTAAAAGTGCCTCTTTGAGAAAATCGATCAATTTCATGCGCCCTCGGTGCATGCTGGTAGCTAATTAGATCTGAAAACGGAAGGGAGCCCTCAAATAAAAAGAAGCTAATCAGTCACGACAGAATTATAGGTTAAGAACCGAAATCATATCAATAAATGGTCTGTAATGAGCTTAGCAAGATGAGCCGATCGCTGTTGAAACCTGACAAATCGATTCCCTCATGAGCCTTGAGCCCCATATTAATGCCCACATTCTAGGGCTCATCAGAGAACGGAACATGATTGGTGTTAACGTGGACCAATTCAGACATGGTTCCACTCGAAATGAGGAAGAGAGTCGGCTCTCGGTTGCCGATAACACACGTTTTCATATGGAATTGAAAATAAATTGTGGGGCTAAATCGTTCGAAGGGGCAACGCTGCGGGTGTGCGAGGGTGCGGAGGGGCTGGGAGTTGAAAAGGGTTGAGAAAGAAACGGGCGGAGGGGACGCGCGTCCGAAGGGATAGATACTAGAGATTATTACTCAAATGGATTTTCAATTCGCCATTATTTGATTAGTTACCAGTCGGGTCGCGAGCGGGAAAACTAGTGTAGGTCCACGGAAGAAGGGAAAGATGAAAAGGGTTTAGTTTTTCATCCCTCCGTGGCTCGAGCGTGTGTGTGGTTGCGGGGTTGACACATGGAACGTGGATAACTGATACTGCGGGATGAAAGTTAAAATAATGGGTTTTAAGATCAAGATGTCGTT